CTCCAATCTCCTTTTTCGTTTTCTAATTCATAAATGAATTGGATTACATATTCTATTGACTTAATGTGTTCGTGAACACGTTGAATGTGTTCTGATTTCAACAAAGTAAATCACCGACATACTTTTGGCTTGAATTTATCATTGTTTAATGATAATTGTTGAACATTTTATCTTAAACTAGTGTAGACCCCTCTTATTTAAAAATGATCTTTATTACATAGTTATAAAAAGGGTAGTACTACATAAAAAAAATTTCTGGTTTGTTCAAAAATCATACTCTAATTGTTAATGAATATATTTGTCAGTATATTTCATAGGTTTCTCTTCAAATAACTAAATTTAAACCGATAGATATGATTGTCTATTGAAATAGGACTGACTATAAAGGTCACCTTAACAATTAATGTGAAAACTAATTACATTTCATTGTTTTATGATAAACTACCTTCCAAGATAAAATGTTGAAACATGATTGATTATTGATTAGTTCAACATAGTTGCTAGGATGAACTTTAAGATCACTTTGAAAGAGTTAGACAGTAACTATACAGGTAAATAAACCTTTTTTCGATAGACAACTTTGCCTTACAATACAACCTTCATCTTTAGTATAATCAACTTGAAGTCGGTGTAAAGCAGCTTAACCTTTATGTCAAATTTTTATCCCTAAAAATGATCTTTTTATGTTAACATAATTAGCTAACATTTCGTTAAAATTTCCTACTTTTTTTTTAATTTAATGGTTTTTGGGGATTTATTGATTGAAACCTGGAGAAACCTGAGAGCACTGGACAGCTGTCTCGTCCTAGTATGGGACTCCTCAGCAGTGCTCACCAAGGGCCATCAAGTTACCATTCAGCCACTGAGTCAAAATCTAGTAATCCATTACCAAATGTCATTGTTGAGTATTTGTCTTCATGTCTACCAGATTTGCCCCATCGGTCAAGATTTCTCACGGGAACTTCAGGAATTACTTCTTGAAGTTAGTCACCAATGAGAATTAAATCATTTCATCCCTTCTTCTAGAAAACTCTTTTATTGAAAAGGCTAATTGTTGATTTGTTAAAAAAACAAATTCATCATAATTGTACAAACCAAAGTAGCATATATTATTATATATATATATATATTATATATATATATATATATATATATATATATATATATATATATTATATATATATTATATATATATATATATATTATATTATATTATATACTGTTATACTACACTCCTATCTGTCTAATTTTCTCTTTTCAAATATCATTTAGAAAGGGACATGAAGAAATATGATATTCAGATAAACTTTAACATGAGGTCAGAAGGTAATCGATAAATCTCCTAACGATGATTCATCCTTTTTACTACTGCCAAAACTAACCACTAACTATCTTAGTGTGTACTTGAAATAGTTAAAGCCCACAATGAATGCAAAACATTAATTAATATGATAAAACAAACATTGAAAAATGAACAGTTTAATATGATTGATGAATAAAGAATATTTAGTAGGTTGGTTAATAACTTTTACGTACAATTTCATTAAGTTACTTTAAATCTGTAACACCTAGGATAGAGCTATAACTCATTGGTTTAATCAATGCATCTGTCAGGGATTCGAATAATGCTTAGTCAAATAAAGTTTGGGCAGCCCTAATACCTAATACATATGACCTGACTGCCTAGACCTCGGTAGGTGGAGAGAGGTTTGCACCCGTAACCCATTGGTTGACGCCTGAATGACTTGCATCCTATCCCTTGGGTTGCTGAACTCTAACACTAGCTTACGTTTCTTCATCCCCCCCCCCTAACTAAAACATCCATCCTCCAACTCTGTCATCTAATCTATCTTCATCCGAAATGCAGGTAGATACGCCAAAGAAAAGACTTTCAATAAAGTAGTAGAAATTCATCGACTGATCACTGCAGGGTAACCAACTTCATATTGGTTAGTCCTTGATGCTGATCAAATTCTACCAACCATTTTGCAACATGGCCAACAGACTAGACAGTTTAGCATTGTGGTGCACTTTGATAGATGTTATTTGAGTGAAGGTAATCGACAGGAAGCCCTGGACCTAGGTTTCGTGCTTGTTAGCACTTGTCAGCAAGGTGTATCTGCAACCTCGATGGGACTGATGTCCCATCTGAGATGCGAACTTCCGTCATCCAGCAACGTCACCACTGACCTATTCGGGTCTCAACTGACCTCCTAATCTGTTGTCCACACTGCAATGATCGATAGAATTCAGTCAGCACGTAGGACTAAACAACATGAAGTTGATTACTCTCCTATGACTAATCACCATATCCAGTCCACTCCTACAAGAGGTCAGTTGAGGATCAAATAGCTGAGTGGTAGCGACGTTGACTACAACACTGGGTGACGCTACTTCGAATCTCAGGCGGGACATCAGTTCCGTCAAGGTTGCAGATACGCCTTGGGTTCAGGTCTTCCTGTCGATTTCCTTCATCCAACTAACATAGTAGCAGAAATCGTTAACAGGAGAATCACAATTCAGTTCGGTATTCTAACGTATACTATTCCTGCCCCTTACATTGTATCTTCTTCATTCCTGAATCTGCATCAACTGACTGTTATTATTTCTAGTGTTTCTAGATACTGCCCCACATACTACTGATATACATTCCTATAAGTAGCCTTCCTCGCCCCATTAACCTCATAGTGAATTTTTTTTAAACAGTGTTACATAATAGCAATTCGAACAATGGCTACATAGAGTTAAAGCACCTTATAATAATAGTAATAATAATGAATGTTACTTTTCTTTTCTATTTAATATGGTGAATAAATTCCTAGAATGCCTAACTCTGATTGGAATATTGTTTAGCCAATTAATTAATTTAAACAAATATGTTCACTGCATAGTTGAATTCAATAATCAATGGATTACAGTTCAATCTCTTCTAATATATCCTCTGTGATTCAGTCAAACTATCTATCAATAATATCTTAAGAATTCATAATACCATCTATTTAATAATTTACATAAATCAATATAGAATTACTTTCTAAGTCCGTAAGTACTCCAATATCTTTGAAATCGAACTTTAACTGAAAGTAAAAAGATGGTTCAAGTTGTTCATTTAACCTGTTGTATTGAGAGTGAGGCATATTTCTAAAAGAAACTATGACGCAACACAAACTTTGACATTTACCAGTTGGATAAGAAGACACTGAGATTGATAAACTCAATAGGATAAATAATGAATCATTAGGATATGCTAAAATAAGCTGAGAGTTTCGGTTCAAGTGCCTAAAAATACAGCCAGTGTTCTATCCGCTGAGTTATCGATCTCTAACACTAGCTTACGTTTCTTCATCCCCCCCCCCCCCTAACTAAAACATCCATCCTACAACGCTGTGATCAAATCTATCTTCATCCGAAAAGTAGGTAGATACGCTAAAGAAAAGACTTTCAATAAAATAGGAGAAATTCATTTATTGATCACTGGAGGGTAACCAAATTCATGTTGTCTAGTCGTAAGTGGCGGGAGAATTCTATTGGTCACTTTGTAATACGGCCACTAGATTAGGTAGCTCAGCATCGCGATGCAAGTATGTTTCTTGCTTGTTGGCACTCGTCAGCGAGTCTGCAGCCTGGATGAAACTAATGTCCCGTCTGAGATCCAAACTTGCATCACCCAGTGTTGTAGCCAATGACGTTGTCACTGAGGTATTTGGGCCGCAATTTACCCCTGTATGACTGGATTAGATACATCGGTTGGTCACTGGATGGTAAGCAACTTGCAAAATGATCGATAGAATCCGGTCAGGACATAGGACTAGAAATCAATGGGATATATAATGAATCACCAGGATTTGATGATGCAAGCTAAAAGTTTTCCCTGAGGTGCCTATAAACACAGCCAACATCATATTAATTGGGTGTATTGAATAAAAATTCTATTAGTTAGAGGCTTGAAGTATCAACAGCTGATAACACATGAAAACTCAAAGTTGAACGAAACTAGAAGCTCTAAAGAAATTAAGTTGTAGTGATATCGAAGTGGATTCTTCTTACTGTGACGTGAGCAACAGACCAGTGTTACCTCTTACTAAGACTTGAAGAATCTCAGTATTTTGTTTAAATAGATCCAATGAGCCATATTCTTATGGGAACTAAAACCAAACCTTTGAGCACCAGTAATACTGTCCTGGCCTACCACACCTTCAACCCTACACGTCTTACTTCCTGCTATGAGTTTACTTTATACAACCACTCAGTTTACTGCTTTAGAAATCAATAAGATTTTGCCAATCCGTCACTGGATATTAAGCAGCCAATGTTAATACTAATTGGATCTCATCAACTACATTTGTTAGGCAGCCGATTAGCTAAACGACCTGAATTTGATAATGGTTGATTGAATTCGGTTCTTAGAAGGACGAAGAAGTTTGTTTTGCATCTACCTTCAATCACCGATAAGATTTACCGGCAACCTTAAAAGAAAACTGATTCGTTTAGAGATTTCTGTACCTGTGTCATGTTTGGAACGTGATCGACGGCATTCGACAGGTCACCTTTATTTCCACTAAACTCCATTCCTAATCCTTTATCAGTAATTTCCATTTGCACTCAGCGACTACAGAGCTGAGTAGTGTATACTCAAACTTTTTAGACAGCATAAATTGCCCTGTTGCGTGTAAATCTTCCGCATGTACTGTTTCAAGGAAATCGTCTTCTACCATCCAAGATCTCAAGTATTTTGAATAACCTATTGAAAAATGCTTTAGACCTCTCTATCAGGAGCTGATACACAACATCTGTTACGATGTAAACATACTTCAAGATAGCAAATAACAATGGTTTTTATTTTGTTTGCTCAAACAAGAAGCATATGCTTGAAAAAATATTCATCATACTGAAATTACTACTAAATTTGAAAATAAAGTAGTTTTGATAATTCCACGCAAATATTAATTATAAAGTAATTACTCTGATGAAGAAGTCAAAAAAGTTCAGTGAAAACTTACGCTGTAGCTTCAATTACATTGTGTAAGATATAAGCAGTTGGTTGATGCAATGAATTGATATCAATACTTTCTTCTCGAAAAGATTTCAATATGTCCAGTGTTTGCGGTAGATTGAACATATCACAACGAACACCAGTATAACCAGTTCTACAGCTTTTGTTATATTATTGATGAAAGAAAAAGAAAGACAAATTACTGTAGATAAACTTCTTGATTAGAAAGTAATCACTTGAAATAATAAGGTCAGGATGATGAACTTTAGATGAAGACTCAGTCATAAGACAAAATGTTCTATTGGATTATATGATGAGTAAATAGATCGATGCTACGCCCATACAAGGTCTTTCATCCTGTTCTATTCACACCCTGTGATATCAATGAACACATATAACGTAAATCAAGTGGCTTATTGTTAGATGGTTAACTCTTTACAGCTGTTTTCTTCATGACAATCTATTGTCACATGATTGTGTCACATTTCATCATCGTTATTTGCGTTTTCACTTGCACCATAGGTGATCTGAGTAATTTGTTTTATCAGTTGTATATTTCTGTGCTAATGAACATCACTAAAAAATAGCTGAATCAACAAAATCTGTTCTTTTACTAAAACTCATCATACTGACTTCTGAATGAAGCTTTTACTGAAGAACAAGATATTCAGCGAAGAGACTCTTTTCAACGAGATTATTTTCAAACTCTACATTCGTATACATATGATATTCGGAAAAGTATATCCTGTGAGGAAAATTAAATCCTATATGTTGATGTATTTTTGAGGTGCATACAAATTTCAATTTTGAGGTGGTGTTCATCACGGACTGATATCAGTTGGGAACCATTGACAAACCTGGGAGCACTAGACAGCTGTTTCGTCGCAGTATGAGACTGCCCCCCCCCCCCCAGCAACAGGCAGGGATCCACAACCTGGTTAGCCATTAAACTCAGGATCTCCAGGTTTCAAGACGAATATGGTAACCATTGAGCCACTGGGTTGGAGTTCAATGGTTCACAGTTTCTGACCTCTTTCAATTCACGATATACCTCGACTATCACCGAAGGTCTTCTGATGCCATCCGCTTCCATGAAACTTTGAACCATTGAAATCCGACTCAGTGGTTACTATGTTCGCTGCGAAACCTGAGGATCCTGAGTCGGATCTCTAACCAGTCATGGGTGTATATCGCTGAGCAGTCCCGTACGAGAATGAGGCAGCTGTCCAGTGCTCCCATGTTTTCAGTCGTTTCCTAACTGATGTCAGTCCTGTGAAGAATACTGCCTCACCATATGATGATGACAGCAATAATAAAATGGATAGTATCATAGGTATTTATGACTATGATAGCAGTTGAAGTATGAATGATAACAATGATAATATACGGAATGGTTCATAGAAGGTATATAATTCACAAAGGGGTGGGAAAAGTGATGAAACTGGTAAATCAATTGAGTAATATGTAATAAGATTAGACAAGCTGGTCAAGATAAAATCAATGTTTTCTAAAAAGATTAAGACAATTAGGCGAAATGATACCGGAAACTAACCAAAGTGAAGGTAATTATAATAACAATAATATTGATAAAGGAGGGATATCAAGGCTAAATTGACAAAAGCGGAAGGGATGGAAAAGTCTGATGGCCATGATAAAAACAATGACCACTGTACATACTACTTTTTTACATACAGACCAGGTTTTAGTCCATGAATAGCTAAAGCCTCCGCTGTTTCAAGGAGTGGAAAACGTGGGAGTTTTGGGTGAATTTGATAAACAGTTTTAAAGGCATTTTCTTGGTTTGTTCAGCAATGGGAATCAATCAAATGTTCTAGAATAGAACTTCTAACAGACTTTCTTTCACCTTTATAAGACTGAGCTGGAACATGTTCTTTTATACGTGTAGAAAGCATTCTCTGAATATGGCAGATTTACCTTGCTGCATAAGAGTAGGTGAACTAGTAGATCCATACAGAGGCGGCCAAACAAGGAAGCTTATCTTTAACATAAACAGAGAATACTTTACGGTTGATAAAAGTCAGTCGAAGTCTTGCAGTGAGAAAAGTTCTACTAAGTAATTTTCATAGACGAAGATGCTTACTATGATATGACAAGAACATAGCTGAAAACACTTTGACTCCGGAAGTATCAGTACTATCACAGTGAGTGAAAGATCTTCACTTCAATTTCAAGATCAACCTAGTTTTATTCATGATAAGAAGGTTAGTTAAGGCATACTTATTTCTTCACCACTGCTGGAACTCAAAATCAAACCAGAGAAACTAAAGAATTCCTCCCCCCCCCCCCACACACACACACACACTATTTCAGTTAAAGTAGGCGTAGTTAAATGCCTAAGTAATAGGCCGAAAGAGCTTACTAGTAGGGCAAAACATCAAAGACAAGAAGTTAGACACATCAAGAATACCTTCCGTCTAAATAATTACCCATCTAAATTTTTAAATAAATTCATAAAAAATCGAAAGAAAAATATTGGTAGTAGTAGCAGTAGTAATATAGGTGTTATTTACAATTATTCTACTAATAACAGCAATAATGGTGACAGGATTGAGAGAGAATTCAAGGCCTCTGTGTATTGCTGTACAAGGAAAGCACCTCAGAGGCATTACGAAGGATTCTCAGTAAGGCTGACTGGGGTTAAAGTAGTATTCAAACTAACATACTCACTTAGAAACAAGCTTTGTACGTTATAAGATCCTATCGATCCAGTTCAGCAAAATAATCTGCTTTACAAAACCCCTTCCCTTACAGTCATTTTCAGGTCAAATACATAGGTGAAAGTTGTCGACCACAGTCGATTAGAATAACAGAGCACAACAACTTAGCTAAATCAAGATTAGTAGATCTTAATAAGATAAGAAATGTAGAGAGAAGTTCAGCTAGTTCAGCTCTGCAGGCAATTACACACAATCACACAGTAGGGTGGGATGGAGTGACAGTGTTGAAAACTAACTTATTTAGGTGTAGGGAGGTAGAGATTGATAACCGAATCTTTGTTTATCGAATCAACACCAAACACATGCAACTGAAATGATTCTGCACCTGTCTCAGATATATGGAAAATTCTACTACCCTAATCATCACAGCGAAGGAGAGAAAATTAGGACTATATGAAGCCTGTCTCAAAGATGTGGAGTTACCTAATATGAATATGGACAATAAATTGTATCGGAAACATTATCCAGTAAAGGAAACTGCTTCACTATGCTACATTTCTAGTAAACAGATTAAAATGGAATTACAATCAACCACAGTGCCCAGTTTTTACTCTTCTATTAAAACTGAAGAGTACCAAGACAACGAACAAATTGCAGGATTTACTTCCGATTCACCTTAAAATATTGACAGTGCCATGGAACTGATAATCGATAATTATCACATTAGTAGTACATTTGTCAAGGAGGTCTCAAGGCTTTTCTAAACACAGAAAAGAATTTTATTTCCTATTGCAATTGGTTTACCTTTATTTCAGTTTTGTGACATAATTCCTAAACAAGTGAAACAGTACATTGATCGAATAGTTTGACCGATCAGTCTACTCAGTCCAGTCCTAAAACAGTGGAGATGGTCGTATTCTGAATGTCTCAGTAATAGCATCCCTGATCCCAACACCCAGTAATGCAGGTTAGGATCTATGAGAAGACATCAGATTCTTCAAGAATGCTAACAGTTTTCAGCAAGCTTGAAATGCATTTCCAGCGTCACTACTTACGTCAACGTAGCATGTGGTTAAAGTGGCGCCGATGTATTAACTTCCCGACATCTTCCATAGCTTAAATATTCACACTAACCTTTATCTTCAGATTGTTTATCCCTTCACACAACTTTGTTTACTATAATATCATTCTTTATTCTATCCACTTGTTCTTTGTGTACCACTCTGAAGTGCGGCAACTTGAGGTGATGCACTTGTGCGGGAAGTCCTATGTCTGTTCGTCTTTCTGTCCATCATTTTCAACCATCCAACATCAAGTAGAAATATTATAAAATGTGTCTCATACTAAACATTCCACAGAAGGAGAAGTCTTCAATACTGGTCTTGAACCAGATATTATCAAATATTATGAATACTCCACTAGTTCGCTTCGACGGAGGATATCTAGTAGACAAGATTTATTTGCATCTACTTATCCATAGTTTAACAAGCAGACAGAGTTTTTATTGACAGATATTCTCCCAAAGCTGCACAACTTCACTGGAACACAGATTTGCACTTGAACTAATGTCTAGATAGAGAGATAGGATTGTTTTCCAATAAAACTCAAGCTAGGAGATCAGTGTAGACAAAGGAAAAGATGAAAAACTTCAAGATATGCTATCAATGTGTTATTAGACTTGGTTACTTAATAACTGGTGTTATGTTAACTATTTGAAGATTATTTACATTCTTGTCCTTTAGAATTTAGACATATAGCGTGATTAACGAATGCCATATATAATGATAGTAACAAAAATGTGTTAAACATGAAGAAAAATAAACAATTCGTGTAGGGGAAAGTATTTTTACTAATGGTCTATTATTACTTCCAGACGTTAAAATTATTAAATATGAAAAGAAAATGTTGAATAAGCCTCAGTCAGTGGATGAACTCCAAGTCAAGTAAACAATGAAACAGGTACTTTTCTATGCTGTATGCACTCTCATCAATTCAGCAGGCAGGTCTGTGAGGAACTGATCGATATCAGAGTAATTTTCATGAACAATCAAGCAATTCAATCAAAATCACTACAAACCCTGATTGAATTACAGTCAAGTATTCATTAGTGACACGTTTCGATGTGAAGCTAGTTATATAGACCGTACAAAGCGCACGCTTTCTAAATGTAACTCTGAGCACCATCCTGAATGACTGTAAATCTAACAGTTGAATTCTTGAACATTTAGTCAACTCTGTAAGTATAGCTAGACCAGAGTCCGCCTTCACTGTCATGTACAGAGTTAAATGGAATAGTTCAAAAGGAGTACAGCTTCAGCAGCTGTACATAGCAGAAGCACTAGGAATTCATCAATTCAAGCCTGTGTGCAAAAGAAGTATGTTCAATCTCTTCTCTTACCATGGTCATAACACTTCCACAACTTTTCGACTTCACTATAATTAGTTAGTTTACCAGTATTGTCACCTTCATTATGACCCTTGT